GTTCTTGATATGGGACATTTTAACAAATATCAAGACTAACTATGATAGGCTCAAAATTTTTAAAAAGGAAAGAAAATGTTCAAATTTTAAAACAAATCTTCAGATTAGGATTTATCTTCTTGAATTTCTCAAAGATCTTCATTGTTCATGGGTTCCTTCAAAATCACCTTCTCTAATGAACTTGTTTGAGTAGCTTTCAAACTTGCTCTAGACTGTCTTTTCAAGTTTTCACCCTAAAGCTTCATTCAATCTTTTTTTTTTCTTTTTTCCCTTTATTTTCTTTTTTTTCTATTCCAGCATACATTTGAAAACTCACAATTGATCCAAAATTAAAAAATGATGGTGATTTCCTAAAGAAAAACTCTTCAATTTAGATATCCACACTTGAATAAAATTGACTTTTTAAAAGATATAATTTGAACTGGGGTTTAGGGTTTTAAAAGAAAATGATAAATAGGCCTAAAAATGTGTTTAAAGGTAATCAAACCAATGATCAATTTTCTTTTCAAAGACATTTGCCTTTTCTATTTCTCAGAACATACATTTTCATTTTTTTTCTTACATTTTTTTTTTTTGTTTTTTTTTTTCATTTTTCCACATCTTAACAAATTACCAAAAATTTTGAAGCTTGTCTTTTGACTGTAAGAATTCATTTTTTATCCTTAACTTTGGATTTAATGCTTTCTCAAAAAACCCACTTTTATATCTGCCTCTAGTGTGAAAAGTGATCCATGGTTGGGGTTTCTTAAAAAAAAAATTTAATAGACTCAAAAGAGATAACAAACAAATATTTTCTTTTTGTAAAAAGAATATAAAATATGGCAATTTATCAAATCAAATATGGATACCTATATTAAAAAGAAATTTTTAAGAATAGATTTTTCTTTTATTTTAAAATTCTTTAAATATTTCATATGCAATTTTTATTTATTTATTTATTTATTGCAACTCAAGCTCATTGTATCATCTTATTACATCAAATGAAATCCCAATATAACAATCTTCATTTTCATAACCCATACCAAAAGATGAAATTGATGCCATCTAGAAGAAAAAATATTGGAAAAATTGAATAATTTGGGCATTTTGATAAATTTGTCCCAATATGTGTGCAAAGAAAAATTTTAGGGCAATAAAAGAAAGAGAAAAGGAATGTTGCATAAATCAACATGTCAAACAAAGATATTAAGGGGATATGATTTTTTCAGTAATTCTACCCTAAAAAAGAAATTGGAGAAGTTTAGGCTTAGTGAAAAAACATAGGTAATGGTGTGTTTGAAATAGTCTTGAAACTTATCAAATTGTTAAAATCTAAAATCTTCAAGAAAAAGCCGCATGTATTGGCTTACAAAAAATTTTTCAAACAAGATTTTTGAAACTTCATTACTCATAGCCTTAATAACGATCATTGACTTGGAAATACTTCTTTGTTCAGTGAAAATTAGGATCATAAAACTTGAAAAGTCAAGCTTTGAGTGGTGTGGTGTTCAACTAAATTAGAGTATAAAATGGTAAGTGAAACAATTGTGTATGTTCATTCTTGTTAGCAATCATCAATTCTTTTAATATTGTTTCCACAAAAAAATTTCTTTACAAAGAACATTTTCCAATCATGGAAAGAAATCATGTGGGTTTTTATTGTCAAATAACTCAAATGGATGAAAAAAATATATAAATATATACAGATACATGCATGTAAATCATAATGAAAAATAGGAATTCATATTTACGTATCAAAATTTACCCTAAACAAATGAAATAATGTACATACAAAAATGTATATACGAATCCATGTATGCAATATATAATAACAATAAAAATTCATATTCAAAACTATGTACAAAATTGGAAAGGCAAAGATATTTCCAAACAAATGAAATAACATACATACAAAGATGTTTACATAGATTTATATGCAAATACATGTATACAATACATAAATGAAAACAAAAATTCATACCCAAAACTATGTACAAAATTAAAAAGACAAAAATTTTCCCAAACAAATGAAATAACAAACATACAAAAATGTTTACATGCATGTATGCAATACATAGTAAAAATTCATATTCACAACTAAAAAAATAATTACTCTTTAATTTACAATTAAGCGTTCACATCTTTTAATATATGAAAAAGTAAAATGGAATAATGCATAAATGAATGCATATATGCATGAATGCAATAAGAAGGATTTAATGATGTGAATACATATATATATACAATAAAAAAAAAAGTTAATAAACATGATATATACAAATAACAACATAATATATAAAGAACAACATAAAGGGTTTGTATACAAATAATATATACAAAGAATAATATATAAATTTACAAGCAAAATAAATGTTTCATCATGTATCTATTTAGGATTTTCTAACAGAAGGGAAAGCATGGCTCTAACTTGGGTTCGGACCTTTAGGGTTTATTTACATGCTAGGTTCAAAAGTTTGATAGTCTAGAGGTTCCTAAAATATTTCCTACATCATTATCCATTATAGATTAATAATGTATTTTAATCTTCAGCCACCACAGGCTACAGGTGAAAAATGTTTAACTTCAATAGGAGTATTTTGCTAACCCATGTAGAGATATAAAATCTCATAAAAGCGTAAGTACTTTACTCCCTTATAAGGGACGAAGCTATAGTGTAGAGCTCATGTTATCTTATACATATGTAAATGAATGACATATATGAAAAAAATAATAAACAAATAAATAAAACATAAACAAAAAGAGAAAAAAATTTTCAAATTTATTAAGTTATGCTTGGATAACATGAAATTATTTGTGGGCCTGACTCTCAAAGTCTCTAGTGGAGGTGCCAAACTATCATAATGTATAAATTCATAGACCTATCACTAAACATAAATTTTAAGAGTTGCCTTCAATCTTTTTTATTTAGGTATGATTGGCTATCTAACTGAATCTGTCACATTCTATCTAACTAAATCTGTCACATTTTAAAGAGAAATCCTAAGCTTGACTTAAGTATCTTTAAATAGTATATTCTAGGCTACAAAGCCAGATTTTAGGTTCGAGAGTATGGTTAACCGCGAGAAAGGTTATAGCACCCTTACATCATCTATCAAAGAATGGTACTAGTTTGATTTCAAGCTATCCAAGCTTTAAAATATTTTTATAATTTGTCAAATAATTTAATTATCATAAATTGATCCTAAAATTAATCCAATAGTTTGGTAGTGATTTAAGATAATTTGTTTACTTAAGAAATATTCATAAAGATTAGTGTCTCACTTTGAAGAGGCTCTGTCATCGTATTCATTTAAATTTAATGTAAGGAAATAATCAATAAAATCTTTCAATAATTTGGTAAAATTACTTTGATGTAGATCTCCTAATAGTTTGATAGGATTGAAAATTTTATTAATATTTTTTACAAAAAATTCATTAAGTCATCTAATATTTTGTTAAAACTTAATTCAAGATTTAACTCATTCAATAATTTGATAGGATTAAAAATTTTATTATTATTATTATTTTTAAAAAATTCTTTAAGTCCTATAATAATTTGGTAATACTTAATTCAAGATTTAAATCCTCCAATAATATAGTAATACTGAAAATTTTGTTATTATTAAAAAAAATTATATTATGAAATTCTCCAATGGTTTAGTAGAATTCATAAAATTTCTAAACCTATGAAATAAAAAATTCATAATTTAAAATTGACAATCTTTAAATTTTATTTTAAGCATACATAAAAAAAGTTAAATAAATGAATAAATATATAAATAAACAAAATTTGAAAATTACTTTATGATGAAGAGATGCCTAGGTGAAAGTATCCCTTGATTTGTAATGACAAATAGTCATATATTCCAACCAAAGAGCTTTGTCACCAATTCTAACCAAAGAGCTTGAATATAAATTGCTACTCATCCATTTCCTAATGGATTTCTTTTTTTTTTTTTTTCTTTTATGTGTGGTTAATTGATGTTTATAAAAAGCCTTTTATCGAAAATTTTAAAGATTTACATTAAATGGAAAGAATTGTAAATTTGACTATGCTCTGAATTTATTTTTTTCTTAATTCTCTTTAAAACCAGTTTAATTAATTTTTGAAATTTTTTTGATTTTCCTTAATTTTTAAAATCCTTCAAAATTTTCCTAATTAAGTTGATTTTGATTCCTTGCTTTGATTTTTTTTTCAACATTCCTTTAATATTTGAAGAGATTATGTTTTAGTCTTAATTGCTGAAATCATCCTTGATTAATGTTCAAATTACTCCATAAATTTTATTAACATGATTTATGATAAAAATTTAAAATCAGATAAATAAAAGACTAAATGATAAATAAATACAACAAACAAAATATAAAAAAAATATAATCCGATTAATTTCACCCAAACTAAATAGGTGTCTACATAGATAATGCATATATATTTGCAAAGCTCAAACATAAACATCTTTTAACATCAATTCCCACAAACCCCATCATTTCTATAAATTCCAATTATCATCATCACTCTGATTTAAAAAATCTAATCCAACCATACTATGATTCTCAATAAACTGACAAGTTGAAATGGAGTTAACTAAACAATGCACACACTTTGAGAGGCAGCAAGGAAGCTAATGGACTGAAACAGAAAAATTAAAAGCAAATTAATCTAAAAAAATCAACCAAGATAAGCCCAGTATTCAGTAAGTTTCATTTGACTGCCATTGCTTTCATCTAATACCAACTACATCAATAAGATAAAGCGAAACAGAGTAAGAGTGTCAAACCTATATAGAATACAAAGAAGCCTCCAAAAGTCTAAACTTACTATTCAGTTATCAGAACACATAATAACCTTTTACTGGGACAATCCAATGTAGAAGTAGTCCACATATAAACAACAAGCAAACTTGGAGGCACCTTCATCAGTTTCATTTTTACAGTCTCAAAACTGCTTAGATACACAGATATTTATATGTTTTACAAAAATGTAAATTCTTTCATATAATAGTACCATTAATTATTGAAAGGAAATGGAAAAATTAGATTTAAAAATTTCTTATTGCAATATTTTTTTCATTCTTAACAATCAAAGATAAGATGCTAAAAGCCAAAAACAGTATAGTAGCATTGTATGACTTCACCATGATCAAGATACATAAACTGTTTGAATATTCATAAAATAACATAGACCATCAAAAGACAAAGAACACCCAAAATCTAAAGCTAAATCCAATGCCACATGACAAAAGAAAATGATGATTGCTAATCTGCAAGAACAAGAAGCCATAAAATTCCACTTAAAACTTAGTTTACTCGGTGGTGTTGAATAAGACAAATTATTGTGCTTCTAGAGTTTTCTTCTTCTTCTTATCCCTAACCTTGATGTCAATGGCGCTTAACTTTTTTACTGCAGTCTTGTTTTTCTTGTTGGAGACATTGTCACTATTGATTTCACTTTTTCTGTTAGCCCCAGAGTTAATGTCATTACTATTTTCATCCATGTACTGAACTTGGTGTATCCTCCCCTTGTTTTTCTTCTTCTTCTGATGAGAAGCATCTTCTTCTTCTTCTTCTTCTGCTTGTTTTTCCTCCAAGAGATCTTTAGAAGAAGGGTGATCAGCTTCAGCCAGAATCTTCAAACGCAGATCAGGCACAGTCTGATAAAGAGGGAGGGCCAAGCTGTCAAGCAACTTTAAATGGAACGACCTGATATTGCCCCACTTGCTCGGTACAATCTCTGCAATCCCGTTAATAGCAGCTATCACATTTTCAACAATCACTTTTTTTCCCATGGAAAGTTTCCCCACCTTCACCACGCTGCAAGTTCCACTACTCAAGAACAGCATAGCAGAGGCACAAGCCTTGTGAATCTGCTCCTTCCAGTTGTTGTGCTTGAGGTCCACAGGCACTGGAATCTTCTTCTTTTTGAAAAACTGCTTCCCCAATAGCCGAGGGAGAAGCGGGATAATCCTCTTATCCGCGAAAAACATGTCATAGGTATCGCAGAGCTTTCTTTTGGCCTCGAAGGGCCGATAATCAGTCTTGAGCTTGGAAAGCTTGACCACCTTGCTGATGGGTATGTTGTCGGACTTGATTTTCTTGGACGCAGCATCTTTGGTGAGGCCTGACTTGGGGCGATCATCGATGACCATGCAAAGCTCGGCAGGATCCGTAAAGGGGTCGATGAGGGGGTGAGGGAGAGGCACTTTGTGGGGATTAACGCGAGGCTTTTGAGGAATTTTCTTTAGGCTGACGATGAGATACAGCAATTCATCCTGCTCAAGAAGTTGGGGCTTTTGGGTATGGGACTGAGAATCTCTCCATTTCAGCAGAGCACTCACAGCTCTCTCCACTCTATTGGGGCTCACTCCAGATGAAGCTGCCGCTTCGCCAATATTCTTCGCCATTTATCTTCTTTCTGCTGCACGCCGCAACTTCTCTCCAAATTGTTGATAGGGTTTTAGGGGCTTTTAGGGTTTTGCCAGGAGACCTGGAACGCTTCGAACGCTAATAGAGTGGACTTTTTAAATAGAGGTACAACAAATAATGAAAATAAAAGTACAAAAAAATAATAAAACAGAAAATACAAAAATATAGTCGCGTGATTTTACAATCATCCCGTTCAATGCAACTTCATTTACTTAATTTCTATGTGAGAGCGTATTATGATTGAAACTTCACAAGGTGCATTTTGTTCACCAATTTTTAGATTAAAAAATCTTGAAAAAAGTGATTTTGAATTGAAATATATGATTCTTAAATTTTGTTCATCTAAAAATATAATTTTTTATATTTAATTTAAAAAATATATAAAATTATTAAATAAAATACTTAATTATATTATCTTTAATTATATATGAATAACTTGTGACGTGTGAATAATATATAAATATAACTTAATTTTCATATAACAAATAAATAATATTATTTTCATTGAAATTAAAAAATTTTTAAAAAGTATTTTTTTTTATATTTTCAACAAAAATTATATTTTTTTTTATCTTGAAACATCATTTTTATTAAATTCTATGTTTTTTTTTCATACTTTTAATAAAAATAGCATTTTTTAATTATTAAATTTTTTTTTCATATTTTAAAAAAGTCACATTTTAATCATAATTTTTGTCAAAAAATTTCAATAACACTGTTTTTATCTAAAATATAAAAAAGACAACATTTTTTACATAAAAACATAATTTTTGTTAACAAAAATTACATATTTTATTAAAAAAACGTAATTTCTATTGAATTTATAAAAATTTAAAAAATAAATTCTCATAATATATCAACAAGCAAACTATAATATATATATATATATATAACATTTTCATAATATATTTTCAATGATGATCACATTTTTAATCTTAAAAAAGTGACTTATTTAAAATATAACAAAAATCTCGTTTCTAATTAAAAAAAAGTTATTTAAAATTTTTTTATTAATTTAACTTTTTTTTTCTCTTTCTTTTTCTTTCATACCAAATACAATAAAAAATATTTTTTTCAACTTTTTCTTCTTTTTCTTCCTGCCAAACATAGTACTAGGCCCATTTAGAAGGAAAAAAAAAACATGAACTTTAAACCATGCATCAAACTGCAAAAATCAGGAGTCGCCTTTTCTGTCTGCATTTTATGTTATCCACATCCCAGCTAAAGCAGAACCATTTTCTTTTCACCACATTTCTTACAATTATCGAATCACCAATGAATTGTACGCAGCTCAACCATTTGTGATTGTCGAGTCCATGTGAGCTTATATAAAATTTGGATGGGCCTCACAAGTCAGTTGTGATTAGACAGATTTATAGTTGATATGGTCTCAAACAAAAGAAAAACTGACCAAACAAAAGAAATAAGGTACCGAGCAGGAACACCATTTGAAAGGCATTACATGCCACGATTTGGGCAGGCACTTGCAAAGTGCGATGGATCACCACAAACATAACACCTTCTGCTGGATACGGGATCCCCTGTTGCTGACACAAAAGTGACGTCAGCAGTGCGTGCTCCATTGTGGCCAAATTGACCGTGGCCACCTCTCCTTCTGGAATTGGATGCTGAACTATTGATGCACTCACGTGGAATGCTTCTTCCGCCATTACCATTATTGAGGGTGTCCTCCCATCTGCATGAACAAGGTTTGAGTAAACCAGCCATTTGATGAAGCATGTAACACAAGGACATGTCTACTTTAGGCATGAACATTACACAAGATTTATATCAGATACACCTTCCATGTATCTTATTTACAAATGAAAAGCAAAATAAATCACTGCATGTCTTGTTCGCCTCATGGCACTATTGATGAATTTTAGAGCACCTTATTAAGTTATACCATGTTGTTCACAAAGTAAAGAAGTCATTACACAATAAAAAATCAATGAAAATTATTGTCGTCCCTTATCAGATGTAATTGAATAAGCATTAATGCAATTACAACTCTTTGAACAGTTGCTCATCCCTGTTTCTTTAGGATGCTGAATTAAACTATTGAAAAACAGAAAGGGAACCAGTAGTTCACTAGAACAGTCTCACAGCTTATTTACGAAAAAAGGTCCAAGGAATAGAGTTCCAGGTTTACTTACATAAAGAAATTGCATTCTTGTGATGGACATGAGTAGAACTTTCTTCCCCTGTTATTTGCTGTATTAGCAGTTCGTAAAACACATGGTGTTCTGCATGTGCTACAGGATATTGAAGGGTCCCCTGCATAAATGGAAATATCATAAAAATAGAATTCAGAATCAGAAGCTCTGCTGTAAGGAGCCCCATTTCATAACGAACACTTCAGCAGCCAATGAAGGTATAAGTTGAGATGATTGTGAATTATGTTCTTCTCAATACTAAGCATGCATGCCTATGTCTTTGAAGCCAGTGACTGCACCATAAACAACAATGAAAGGCTAGCTATGCTAGTCAGGATTCAGGAATTCAGGAATTCAGTTAAAACAAAACTAAAAATGATGCAACTAGAACTGTGAGTGAAGCAAGTTTCTGATAGAGTTTTATCAAGAAGAGAATACTCTGCAAAGAGTTCCGATATTGGGTTGATTATATTTTCCAAAGAGCTTCATCAGGAAAGCTCTATGAGCCTTCCCTCCTCAGAAAAGATATGAGGACCCTGGCTGCGGCAAAAGGTTCTATTAAGTATGAAATAATTGTGATACTCTACAACCTTGAAGGGCTTTATAGTGCAGCTAAAAAACCTGTTAAAGCACTTTAGATGCTTAGGGAGAATTTAAAGGAAAAAGCAATTCTTTATCAAACAAGGCCTACCTAATAAACCAAATTTTCACTTTAGGAACACTTTAAACTTTTTGAGGTGAAGTTGGCATGGGACTGAAGGAGAAAGAATTCCTTTCCTGGTATTTGATGGAATTCTGAGGAGGAAGAAATCTTTTAATAACAAACAAAAAGGCAGAAGAAAGTAGGATTTACAAATAAAATGGGGACAAGAGAAGAGCACGGGTCCTTGATACCAGCAGTACAGTTTGTGCTTTAATTAAGGCATATACAGCAAGTCTTCCTACCACTGCAACCAGAACAATTAACTGGCCACAAACAACATGGCTTATAAAATCATATTGAAACCTAAAAGGAAGATTTCAGACAAATCTTCACTTAAAAAATACTAAAATAAACTTTAAGATTTCAAAACATTAATCCAAGAAAAAACTTCCAAGAAACTCAAATTCCAAATTCCAAATTCTTACCAAATTATCTTATAAAAGTGCAGAGGCTGCAAATGAGTAGGCCAGGTTGGGTTTGTTCAGGTCAAAATTGTTTCAAGTTCAAGTCATTTTGGGTTCACGAAGACCTGAATCTTGTGTCATTTGATTTTCAGGTTTGGGATGTTTCAGTCATTTTGGATGTGGATGGTTTTGGGTCATTTCGAGTTATATGTAGCCGTAGTTTAAATAAAATAATTTTTTAACACCAAGAATGGTTTTGCATATCTAATAATTTACTTCAAATTTGAACTCAATACCATGTATCAAGTTTACACAGAACTGATTAAAACTATGAAAGTATTTAACAGCGACCAAATACTTACATAAAAATTACATGTCCTAACATGTCAATTGATCTAACAATTGAACATTAATTATACAGATTGAATTTTGAAAGAAAATCAAGGTAAAAAAATTATATAGTAATTAAAAAAAGAACTAATAAGCCAAATAGGTTTCTCAAACAATGCAAGATCAATCAAGCAATTGGTACAATAAAGAAGCCGCCATAAATTGGAGAGACTTTATCAATTTGAAGGTCATTTAATGCATTTTTTTTTTGTTCCTAACTATTTGTTGAGAGATTATGTATCAAATCAGGATCAATTTCCTGATTTATAGGGATTTATAATTCTAGTCTTTTATTTGTTTCTATGTTTGGATGATTGTGTCTTGATTTTGTGGGCTTCTTTATACATATCAATTTCTCTATATATTTGGGGATTCCTATTAATAAAAAATATACTCACAGACACTGGTTTTTTGTCTCTGATTACATGGTATCAAAGCAAGGTTTGCTTCTGAATTTTTTCATTTTTAATGGCCAAAACAACCATGACTGGTGCCTCTCGACGGACTTCTTTCCTCTAGCAGGCTTTTTATCATATCAAATTACTTATTCTATAACCTTCCTCACCCGGGAATGACTTAGTCAATGGCTAACTGTTTGCTGGCGGATTAGCTGGTTGGCAGGTTAGCTTAATATCCCACGCTTACTCTTTCTCTAGCACTAAAACTAGCACGCTTACTCCGCCTTACTTAGGATTCCCTACTCTAGCACCTGGATTAGCTGTTTTGCTTACTCAAATAAGGGATTTGTGGAAATCTGATATTTATTATTACTTGATTAGTTAACTGTGTCTATTTTAGTTAAATCTCTTATTTTTAAAATAAGTAGTGACTTGGTTAATTAAACCCAATCCATTAGATATTTTCCTATTATGTGTAGAGAGTAAATTACTCCTTTGATTAGCTGTTTTAATGCATGAAAATTTTGGGTTTTAAGGCTGAGAATATTCAATCTTTAGCCTATATATTTTCATGCAATTCTAGCATTATAATAAGAAAAAAATAGAAGTATAAAATAGTTTTATTTTAGAGATTTCTTCATGATATCAAAGCACGATCTAAACTTTTGAAAATTTTCACTCGAAGTCCAATATAGCTAACGAAAGACAAAGCCCAAGATCGGAGGTTACCTCTAACCCCAAAGCTAGCATTTCTCAATCACTACAAAACATTACCACTCGTATTCGAATAAGTTCTTTAGCACAACAAGGTAATTTTCCAAGTGCTTTAAGTGTAAAACTAGAGAAATCAAATTCATGGATTGTGGCTTCAGAAGTTTTAGACCATATGACTGGGGTTGCATCTGTATTTAGTAAATACAGCCCATGTCATAAAAACTTCACAGTTTGAATTACTGACGGATCAATTTCACTAGTCGGGACAAGTTATGTTATTATTTCCAAAGAGATAACACTTGATTTTGTTCGGTTTGTCACAAATCTAAGTTACAATTTATTGTCTATAAGCAAACTTACAAAAGACCTTAAGTATATCACTTAATTTCTTCCAAATATGTGTGAATTTCAAGATTTGGATCTAAGGAAGATGATTGGCAATGCTAAAATGTGTGCAGGACTCTATATCCTAAAAGCTAATGATTCTAAAAGATAATATCAGAAAACCTCTTGTGGCTTCATTATCCAGTAATAATAAAGATAGTACCATCACGTTGTGGCACTATCGGTTAGGTCATCTAAACTTTTTGTACCTCAAGGTTCTTTCCCTTATTATTCAATCAAAATCCTAACAACTTTTAGTATGAAGTCTACCAACTATCCAAACATACCTATACCATGTATCCTAATCAGCCTTACAAATCATCCCATCCTTTTTCCATAATACACAGTGACATTTGGGGTCCCTCTAGAGTAAATAACTATCCAAATTGTTTGTCACATTTATTTATAATTACACCAGGGTTACTTAGGTATTCCTTATGAAGGAAAAATCAGAAGTGGGTCAGCTATTCCAAAACTTTAACAATATAATCCAAACTCAATTCAAAACCAAAATCTAAGTGTTGAGAATCGACAATGGAAGAGAATACTACAATTCAATCCTTGGATCATATCTATTGAAGCATGGTATAATTCAACAAAGCTCATGTGTCGATACTCCTCGACAAAATGGCGTTGCTGAAAGAAAGAATTGACATTTGTTGGAAGTTGCAAGATCCCTCATGATGGCTACCCATGTACCTAAGCATTTTCGGAGTGAAGCTATAGTTACCGCTACATATCTTATAAACATAATGTCTTCTCGAGTCCTGAAATTTCAAAGCCCTTGCCAATCTTTTCTTGGTTCCTATCCTCACCTGCGAATCATCTTGTCTACTCCCATTAGAGTGTTTGGATGCACTGCATTTGTTCTTACTAGCCAACAAAACCAAAGCAAATTAGATCCCTAATCCATCAAATGCATATTTCTCAAATGAATAAAAAACGATACAAGTGTTACTCAATAGTAACAAAGAAATTCTATCATTCCATGAATGTTACTTTTTTTTTAAATCAACCTTACTTTCCCAAAACTGCCATTCAGAGGGAGAATCCAATCACACGGGAATATCATCTTTGGGAAAATCATATTACTGAACCAGCAAACACTTCTCAAACTCCCTTTCACATCCAAAACATCCAACCAGATCCTCCAACTCCCTTTCAACTCCAAAACATTCAACCAAATCCTCCAAGCTTGTAATCCACATAAGGGAAAACAAACAAAGAATTGATTGTCTATTCAAGAAAACACAAAACTCAGAAGGATCTAGGAGAATGTACACCTTCAAAGCAAAACCAAGAATCTAAATTGATTCCGGAGATATTTGAAACCAACATAGGTAACACTCTTACTAAATCTGATTCAATTGAATCTTTTAATGATCTTGATAAACCGATTGCCCTAAGAAAAGGTGTGAGATCATGTATTCAACACCCAATCTGTAATGTGGTTTCTTATGAAGGTTTATCACCCAATTATCGAGCTTTTATTACCACACTAAACAATATACAAATTCCCAATAATATTCATGAAGCATTCATGCAACCAAAATGGAAGATGGTTGTTTTGGAAGAAATCAGGGCCCTAAAAGAGAACAAAACATGGGAGATTTCAAAACTACTCAAAGCAAAAAATCCAGTTGAGTGCAAATAGATTTTTATTGTCAAGCACAATGCAAATGGAAGTATTAACATATTCAAAACTCATCTTGTTGTAAAAGGATTTACTCAATCTTATGGTGTTGATTATGAAAAGACATTTGCTTCGGTTGCTAAACTTCGTTCAATTTGAGTGTTATTATCATTGGCAGCAAATCTAGATTGGCCACTCCATCAACTAGATGTCAAAAATGCATTTCCTAATGGTGACCTAGAAGAAGAAGTTTACATGTAAATCCCTTCAGGATTCAAAAACCAGGACAATTCTAGCAAAGTATGTAAACTTCAAAAGTCTTTATATGATCTCAAACAATCCCCATGTGCAGGGTTTGATAGACTAACAAAAGTGGTAAAGAAGTATGATTTTTCACAATGCCAAACTGATCATACTATGTTTGTCAAACATTCACTTAAGGGAAAATTAGCCATTCTTATTGTCTATGTAAACGACATTATTCTTACTGGAGACTATATAAAAGAAATTAACAACCTAAAGAACCTTTTAGCCAAAGAATTTGAAATCAAAGATTTGGGACACCTTAAATATTTTCTTGGCATGGAGGTAGCTCCCTTAAGGAATGGCATCTCTATTTCACTACGTAAGTATGTCCTAGACTTACTAAAGAAAACTGGAATGCTAGGATGCAAACTTGCTAACACACCTATGGACACAATGAATAAGGTAGGAATGAAATAAGGAAATCCACCAACTAATAAGTGCAGATATCAAAAACTTGTTGGGAAACTCATCTACCTCTCTCATACAAAACCATATATTAGTTTTTTGGTTAGCACGGTAAGCAGATTCACGAACAACCTAATCGAGGAACACTTATGGGCTGTGTATTGAATCTTACAACACCTAAAGGACTCCTGACAAAGGGTTATTTTTTAATAAGACATCACGTGAAAATGTTGAAATTTACACTGAAACTGATTGGGCTAGATCCATTACTAATCGAAGATCAATTATTGGTAATTGTACCTATGTGAGGGGAAATTTGGTTACTTAACGAAGCAAGAAGCAATTTGTGGTGGCTAAAAGTACACGGAAGTAGCGCAGAAACTGAGTTTAGAGCCATGTCTCATAGCATATGTGAGGGAATTTAGTTAAAAAGGTTGCTAGGAGAGTTAAAGGTCTTTGCAAAAGAATCCATGAAGATATTCTACAACAACAAAGCTGCCGTAAGTATAGCAAAGAATCTTGTTCATCATGATAGGACTAAACATGTGGAGATTAATCATCACTTCATCAAAGAAAAGATAGAGGAAGGAATTGTTAGATTAGTGTACACTTCCACATGCCTCCAAACTACAAACATACTAAAGCTCTCTCACAAAACAACTTCAAGAATCTAAAGTCTAAATTGGGGCATGATTGACATCTACCACCCAACTTGAAAGGAAGTGTGGAAATCTAATATTCATTATTACTTGATTAGTTGATTTTGTCTATTTTAGTTAAGTCTCTTATTTTTAGAATAAAGAGTGATTTGGGTAATTACACCAAATCCATTAAATATTTTCCTATTATGTGCAGAGAATAAATTACTCCTTTGATTAGTTGTTTTAATGCATGAAAATCTTGGGTTTTAAGGCTAAGAATATTCAATCTTTAGGCTATATATTTTCATGCAATTCTAGCATTGCAATAAGAAAAATATAAAAGAATAAAATAGTTTTATTCTAGAGATTTCTTTTAGACTTAGGGGATTCTTCGTGAGTGCATCAGAGGTGACTTTTGAACTTATTCAAAATTCTTCTCCAATAGTGCCTATTGTAAGTGACTCGCATTCCCTACAAATAACACAACATAAACTCAATAGAACAAACTTTCTAGAATGGTCTCAATCTGTGATGCTAGTGGTTCAAGAGAAGAGGAAAATTGACTATCTGACTAGTGCAACAAAGGAACCAAAGGAAGAAGAAACAAGTCATTGAACATGGATTTTTGAAAACTCCATGGTAAAGGCATGGTTAGTTAATTTTATGGAGCCCAAGATTGAAAGAACCTATCTTTTCTATAGAAGTGCTAAAGAAATCTAGGATATGGTGAAAGAGATGTACTTAGATCTTGAAAACTCATCACAATTCTTTGAAATCAAGTCAGCCTTGAAAGATATGAAACAAGTGGATAATTCTATGACTTAGTACTACAACAACCAGACCAGCTTTTGGCAAGAAATGGATTTGTTTTCTAATACAAACTGACATTGTGCAGAGGACCGCAAAAAATACAAGATGATGCTTGAGAAAGAAAGGGTTTTTTATTTTCTCCATGGTCTAAATAAAGAGCTTGATGAGATGAGAGGCAGAATACTTGGAACCAAACCTATTCCAAGCATTAGGGAGGCTTTTGCTGAAGTAAGATGAGAAGACAGTAGGAGAGTCATGCTAAGAACCAAATAACCCCTTGCAATAGACACCTCTCAAAACTCGGTCCTTGTTTCCAAGAAAATGATTATTTTGGACTTGGAAATCAACATGATAACCGTAGGAATGATAGGCCTTGGTGTGATCATTGTCGACACCCTTATCATACAAAAGAAACTTGTTGGAAAATTCATGGGAAACCAGCAAATTGGAAACCATCCAAGCAAGTAGAACAAGGCAAGGGCTTTCAAGTTGCTATGGAAGAAAACAAGGTTGAAGGCTTAGCTTATAGCAAGAAGCAACTTCAGCAGCTCCAAACACTCCTCAACAATACCCAAATGACTACACCTACTCCAAAGTGCACAGCTGCACAAAAAGGTAATTACCACTTTGCTTTGGGTGCAAAATCTGATTCTAAAAACCCTTAGATTATAGATTCTGGGGCATCCGACCATATGACTAGTTGTCATGAATTGTTTTCAACATATGATCCATGTCCTAGACATCTTAAGATTTGTATTGCTGATGGATCACTATCCTTTGTTGCTAGATAAGGAAATATTAAGGCTTCTAATATGACACTATGTTCAATCTTGCATATTCGTAATTTAGTGTGTAACCTAGTGTCTATTAGTAAGTTGACAAGCCACTTGAACTGTGTGGCTAAGTTTTATCCTTCATATTGTGAGTTTTAGGATTTACTCTCGAGAAGGATGATTGGCAATGCTAGGGAGCATGAAGGCTTGTACTATCTTGAGGATACTCAACAAGTGAATAAACAAGCTTTGACTCTAAGTGGTGAATCTGTTTCTAGTGAAATTATGTTATGGCACAATAGGTTAGGACATCCTAGTTTTCCATATCTAAAAACTCTGTTTCCTTCTCTTTTTAAGAATAAAAATGTCCATTCATTTGGTTGTGAAACTGGTCAACTTGCTAAAAACACTCATGTTCCTTATCCAAGTCATCCATATATATTTTTTAAACCTTTTTCTTTAGTTCACAGTGATATTTAGGGACCTTCACGGGAAAATAACATAACTAGAACTAGGTGGTTCATAACCTTTATGGATGATCACACACGAGCTTGTTGCGTTTACTTGTTAAAAGACAAGTCTAATGCTAAGACAATTTTTCAACAATTCCACAAAATGGTCCAAACTCAATTTCAAGCTCAAATCCAAATTTTCCACATAGACAACACGAGAATATTTTAATTCAATTCTTGGTGAATATCTAACAAGAAATGGGATTTTTCACCAAGGTTCTTGTTTTAATACCTCCCATCAAAATTGGGTTACAAAACGTAAAAACTATCATCTATTAGAAATTGCTCATGCTATCACATTTACTGATAATGTTCCTAAGTTTTTTTAGGGAAATGCTATTTTAACAACCTTATACCTATAAATAAACTTCCGAGTAAAGTTCCCCATTTCAAAACATCATTTAACATGTTACTTGAGTCATATCCACAAACTATGTTGTTTACTTCTTTACCCCTAAAAGTTTTTGGTTGCAAATGTTTTGTTCACAATAGAAGTCAATCTCCTGGGAAACTAGAACAAGGAGCTATAAAATGTATATTTATTGGGTACTTTCCAACTCAAATAAGGGATAAGTGCTATACATTTGTCTCATTAGATATCACATTCTTTGAAAATCAACCCTTTTACCCAAAACCAATTCTTCAAGGGGAGATAATAAGTAAAGATAGGCTTTGGGATTTTTTTGTTCCCCTTCTAGTAACATCAGCTATTCCTATTGTGCCACCAACAGAAACTAAAATGGAAACAGGGAAAGATTCATCTATGCTTAGTCCTCAACAAAAAATAGAGCTT